ATCAGGAATAGTGTGGCCAGCAGGAGTAGAAGTGATTGTGCAGAAGTGATTGTGCCCCTGTACTCAGCACTGGTGAGGCCGCACCTTGAATACTGTGTTCAGTTTTGGGCCCCTCACTACAAGGAGGACATTGAGGTGCTGGAGCGTGTCCAGAGAAGGGCAATGAAGCTGGTGAGGGGTCTGGAGCACAAGTCTTATGAGGAGCGGCTGAGGGAACTGGGGTTGTTTAGTCTGAGGAAGAGGAGGCTGAGGGGAGACCTTATCGCTCTATACAACTACCTGAAAGGGGGTTGTGGCGACGAAGGTGTTGGTCTCTTCTCCCAAGTAACTAGTGATAGGACAAGAGGAAATGGCCTCAAGTTGCACCAGGGGAGGTTTAGATTGGATATTAGGAAAAATTTCTTCACTGAGAGAGTGGTCAGGCATTGGAACAGGCTGCCCAGGGAGGTGGTGGAGTCGCCATCTCTGGAAGTGTTCAAAAAACGTGTGGATGTGGTGCTTCAGGACACGGTTTAGGGGACATGGTGGCGCTGGATTAATGGTTGCACTTGCATGATCTTGAAGGTCCTTTCCAACCTAGTGATTCTGTGTGATTCCGTGACATAATGGGATAAAAAACAATAAAACAATCATATTTATAATTATTTTCTCCATATTACACATAAAGATCCTGTTCTTGCTTTGTGTATGTTCACTTTGTAAAATTCAAACCGAAGACTACTGGGTAAAAAGTATCTCATTGAAAAAGTTCACATTTTATGCTTCCAAATGAGGCTAAAAAGGAAACACTGTCAGTCCAAACAACGTGCAAGTTCTTTTATACCTTCAAGAAAATACGTTCTGTAGCACTAGGATGTAGTGACAGTTAACAGAATAAATACCAGTAAAATACATTTGGTAAAACAGTGACAGCGTAAATAATTTCCCCCACATTTTTGCACAACTGAACATATAATTCAGTCAAGGAGATTTCCAAAGAGTACCAAGTTCCAACAGTGGCTGAAGAAAGACCACATGAGAAGTTGTGGGCTTGCCATGAAGGAGCATCTAGGGTTTTCCAAGTACCCCACCGCCCCAGCCTTTTAGAAAACAATAGCAGCTGCTGTATGTGTTCCCTCATCTTAAACGAGGCATCTAATATACCTGTCACTGACAGACACAATTGCCTCATGAGACGTACATACCCAGCACCATCCACGTTCATATGAGAATCAAAGAACAGGAACCTCTCCTACCTTTGTCTGTTCGGGCAATCAAAAGATCCAGAGCTTCCAATACATGCATCTGCTTTATTTGGAGAGTTTTATCAAATACTTGCACCGTCGGCTGACCATCTGAAGAAGAAACACACATATTTATTCAAATCCCGGCTAAAATTTGCTAGTCACTGGTTTTGACCCATTTCTCTCTTGCAATAAAAGCCTTGTTTTTTTCATACAAAATGAAAAACCATGCACAAAGGTGCGAGGTATACCACAGCATCATAGCCAATACTTCCTCATGGGAGGGTTTTGTCATTGCTATGGATCGGATTATGCAGCTGAAGCCCAAAAGGGACCTTCCTTTGGAAAGGTTGAGAATTCTCACAAAGAACAAACTTCATTCCCTCAGTCCTGCTGCCCATACTTGGCACACAGAACATAAGGGGTCAAACTTGCAATATCATTACTATGGAAGAAGCAAGCTTTCGTTGTCACATAAGCTTTTGGCTTCATGCTCACTATCGTCAAGGGCTAAGACATCCAGACAAGCCATTTAAACACTCCGTGAGCTTGGATGTGACTTTCTAAGTCTTTTCAGGTGCTCAAGAAAACAACATCTGAAATAACAAAACATTCAGAAATCTGCATTAACATTGGCTCCCCAATATGGCTTGATTCTGGTGCAGAGATAATTTTTGCAACTAGGTTACATAAACGTAATAAATTCACTTGGACTGGTAACTATCCCTGTAGGTGAAGACCTATCAACACCTGAACAGAGCTTATGAACATACATTTTCAAGAAAATGGTCAGGTAGATAAAGATTGACACAAAAACACCAGATCATTTACTAACCTTCTATTAACAAGATGCCAGCATCTGTAGAAACCAGCAAGGACTGGCCCCAAGAATCTGCACAGACAACCTCATGAGGAAAATTACTGCAGAAAGATTGAGATTCCCAAGGCTATGAAGGGATAAGGGATACATGTTAAGTACACAAAGAAATACAGATCATACAGACACAGAATGTGATGGACAATGGAAAGTAATAATATGTAAATGCTTTTGGCAGGATACATTTCCAAGCAGTATAATTTTTGAATTTTAATTATCAAAATTAAGTTAATTTTCTTGCAGAGGAAACACTCTCTGTATTAATTTGGTTTGGAGACTAATAAGTATAAGACACATTCCTGAAACACTGGAATTAAAACACCTTCAGCTAATACTCAGTGCAACCCTGGAAATACTCAGTATGTATTTTATTTTAAAAAACCCCTATAGACTTAAAACATATATATCACCATGCATATGCAACATGCTTACATTTTATGGCTCAGTTTGTCATGTTTAGTCACTAGCACATGGTACAGTTAAAACCGCCTTTCTGCTGAGTTACAGAACCACAGAATCATTAAGGTTGGAAAAGACCTTTAAGATCACCAAGTCCAACTATCAACCCAGCACCACCATGCCCACTAAACCATACCTTGAAGTGCCACATCCACAAGAATTGTTCTTTTGTCATTCGTTCTCTGTACTTACTTCCCAGAGTCTGCCCCTCCTCCCCCAATTTAAATATTAGCTGAAGTCTCTGAAACTCTAGAAGCGCTTCTGAGGCTTCTGTGTCTGAGCTGCATGCAAAAGAGTGTAGTTTGCATAATTCACTCCCTAATGCCCTTGAACAAAATCTGGTACTACAGGAAATAAAAACACAACTGAACTTTGTTTTAAACTTGATGCAGAAGTTAAAATAAAAGATAATTGCATATGGAAAATGGCATTTCCATCAAATATTCTCAGATATAAAAATATCTACACTTGCTTTAACTTGGGAAGTGCTTCTGCTTCCAGGCTTATCCTTTATTTCAATATTGGCTGCAGAATCACTTTGACACTATACATTTCATCTTTACTGCTACAGCATCTGATTACAAAAGTAAACAGACAGTATGCAGAACTGATATGCAATGCCATACTCAATAGCATTTAATCTTTTCATAACTCTCCTCAGACAGACAGGTTCACTCACCTCCTTTTTACCAAAGCTTGTGGTTGCCAAGTTCGCTGTGGCATCCCCCTTCACAGTGGTTTTCAATTTCAATGCCTAATACAAACAGATGTTTTATTTAAGTTGAGTTTTTGTCAGCAATACCCAAGCTAAAGACTATAAGGAAAGGACAATTTAAGACTACAAAGCAAGTCCACTTTGGAATTCCTATCACATTTTAAATAATCAGAAAAGAAGCGCAATTCCGTATAGCCTCAACAAAGTCTGCATGAATGTCTAGAGGGCTGGTAGACATATTCTCAGCCAAAACATATGTTGGTTGGATTTTTTGTTTGTTTTTTGTTTTTTGTTTTTTTTTAATGGAAACTCAAAACCAGAAAAGATGCATCAAACATAACAGAGAAAAGCTTCCACCTCAAATCATATCAGCTAGTCATTCACACAATTAATTCTATAAGCTAGCTGGATAGAGGATCCTTTCATCAATTTTACAAGTTGGCCCTTCACTTGCAAAACTTTATAACAAACCACTAAGTCAAATTATATATATCATTGCCAGGAGTGCCAAGGACACACAGTCACAGTATCACAAATTCTTCAACTGGAAGTAACTAGAAGCAAGCTGATTCTGAAAAGACTAAGGACTCTAGAGAAATACTGTACAAACATAGTTTCAGTGAGATACACAATAAATCTGTTTAAGGTATCCTATATATTTTCATGGCTAACCTTTACAGCAGTGTTCCTATAAAGTGACGACAGATGGAATTGTCACAGCATTCTTTAATGCAAAGTTTAGAAGTTACCTAAATTAATTTTACTGCCCTGAAGTTTGCCTACCATTGTGTATCGTTTCTGTGAAATGGCAGTAATCAGCTGCATGCACCATTTGCACATTTGCATTAAGCATGGCTGTCAGCTTACAGAGACACACGAAATACTTGATTGCATTAACATTTTAATTTCATCCCACCAGTCAGTAGATATCACCTTGACAATAAATAAATGATTTAAACATACTGCTGAGCAAGTCATCAGTGAGTTTTGTTTACTGTGCAAAAACTCAGCTAACTATAACTAAGGCACAGACACATTCATAGAGTTTGGCAAGAATGATTAAGAGCTACTTGGAAGGCAGGTTGAAATATATTCAAGCCTACAGTTTTTAACTGTATTGTGTACCTGAGGTGTTACTTCTATTCATATTTTACCTTAACGTAGCTGTCCTCGTTTCAGCTGGGGTAGAGCTAATTTTCTTCCTAGTAGCTGGTATGGTACTGTGTTTTGGACTTAGTATGAGAATAAAGTTGGTAACACACTCAAGTTTTATTTGTTGCTAAGTAGTGCTTACGCTCAGTCAAAGACTTTTCAGCTTCTCATGCTCTACTGACTGAGAAGGCTGGAGATGCACAAGAAGCTGGGAGGGGGCACAGCCAGGACAGCTCACCTGAACTGACCAAAGGGATATTCCACACCATATGATGTCATGCTCAGTATATAAATGAGGGAAAAGCTGGCTGGGGGGCCACTGCTCAAGGACTGGTTGGGCATCAGTCAGCAGGTAGTGAGCAACTGCATCGTGCATCACTTGCTCTGTATAGTCTTTTATTGTTACTATTATTAACTGTTAAACTGTTCTTATCTCAACCCACGATTTTTTTCACTTTTACTCTTCCAGTTCTCTCCCCCATCCCACTGAGGTGGGGAGTGAGTGGCTGTGTGGTGCTCTGTTGCTGGCTGGGGTTAAACCACGACAGTAGCTTAAACTAATGCAATACTACAAAACTATTTCTGACCACAAAGAACTGCATTAAGTCCTGACAAAAGTCTGCAAGCTAATCAAATTCTAACAAAAGGAGTGACACAGTCTTTGTAAACATAGGTGCATACCTCCTAAATTGATACTACCTGACCAAGTCGGACAAACTCTGCTTGCCGAGCTTCCTCTTTTTTCCGTGTTGATTTTGGGGAATCTGGTAACACATCACTGAAGGACCTTCTATTGAGCATGTTCTAAAACAGATAACATTTATTTTTTAAACTGAGCTAACAGTTTTCATAATCTTTTTATCTGAGCTAACTTAATGTGATATCATTTAAATTTTCTGTCTTCTTTTGGATATTTTCCTGTAGCGATGAATCTAACTGTACAGCTTCTCAGAGAACAGAAATTGCAACTCTTCCAAACCTTGAGTGCTTTACTTTCCAAGTTGTCCTAGTTTATCACCATCATGTTCTATAAAATCATAACAAAGACTGCAGGCATGAACATATGGACAAAAAAGTTTAAGCAGGTCTACTTAGCTAAGAGAAATAAACAGTGGGAAAAAATAGCACCTTGCTAATTTTAGAAGCATTGCACTTCTTTTTAATTAGTTAAGAATCACCTTAAGAGAAGTCTTCATCATCTAAAATGAAGTTACCTCATTGTTACCCATGGGCAAAAATGATCCAAATTTACACATAATGGAACGAGTAAGTGCAGTTTTTATGGTGACGAGACTAATATCTGTATTTGCAGAGCCTAAATTTCCTATTCCCTTGTTGTAGGTAAGCTTATACAAAGTATGACACTGCTAGGCTTCTCCTCACACCTGGTTTAAACAAATGCATGAAGAATCCTATCCTGAAAGGACTGTCTGCCAACTTCCATATAATTGTAAAACAAGTTATATGACATCTGGTATTTAGCCTAGTGTAAGCAATCCAGTGCTCATTAGGATTACGGTCTTTTAAAGCAACAGAACATTCAAGCTACTAGTGAGAACAGGAGAACACATGTGAGGGATGCACAGACTTCTGACTTACATTTACCTTGTGTAGATCAGGCATCAGGTCTTGGTATAAAGAGCGGATCAGCATGTCTAGGGTGCGTTGACGTTTCTGAGAAAATGTTGGCGTTTCCAAGGTGGCTTTTTCCCCATTTATTACTAAAATATTATGAAGAAGATACATTACCTAAATGAACTTTGACAACTTCCACTGACTCTAGTTTGCCTCTCTACAAAAATACCTGTTTTCCCCTCAGTAATTTAGAGTTGCCTCCTTTTTGCATGTTTTTTAGTGAATAATGATCCCTTAAGCTTAAAAGAGAAAAATTAGTAATAGGAGAATTCTACAAGGCATCCCAATAACCTCCTAACTAATAAAATATTAAAGACAAACTGCTCATCGATTTAAGTACTAAACCAATTTAAATATGAAAAATTAGTTGTTAGTCAGGTTCCTGTCAGGTAAGCATCTAACTGTAATCATCACGATCATTTCTCAAAGATTTCTTTCTCACTGATTTAGAAGGGCAAGTAAGGGTCAATGAAAACTGGAAAAGAATAATTACAGAATTAAAAAGTTCTTAAAGGTGGTGAAAGGCACCTATGCAGCATGCATTCAGAAAAGCTTGTATTTTTAGGTTTTCAGAGCTGCTAACCTAACACCTTCTATGAGTAAATACTGAACAGCATTATAACTTCTTTCAGATCTGCAAGTGCTTTAGGAAAACTCAAAGCTAAATATGGCTGCACATTATGCGTATGTAAAAGTCAGTTTGTATGTAGTAGCCCGAGAAGCATAACTGCATAGAAATTCAGTTGTTAACCAGACTGGAACAGTTTGGTGGAACTGACATCGCACCTACGCTACAGATTTGAAAAAAATTCTATACAGAACAGCAGCATACGTGAGAAATGTGTTTATGTTTTAAACATCATGAATTTCAAATTATTAAAGTACTTGGTAAAAAAGTTTCTAGCAAATGAAAAACTGACTTACATTTCACTAACACAAAATCCCTGAATTCCTGGTGATTTGTAAACACAGGTGGGGATGGAAGAGGAGGCCCAAAGAGAGGAACACTTTCTTCTGAGAATATTTTCAGCCTATTGAAAGAACAAATCTTTATCTATATTGAAAGTCACATTCAAAACCCACCATTTCTATAGACACTATTCAAAACAGAAGAACTGGAAACTGTTATCTGGGTATGTCTCAGGTAAGAACTCCCATGGTTCTAACAAAAAACATTCACTTGGAATTATTCACTGGAGCAAAATTCTGCTTCCTTTACACGGACTAACACTGGGACACTAACAATTACAACATAACTTTGCAGTTCTACTCAAAGAAAATGCTTTTAGTGGCACTAGCAAAATATAGTCCTTTTCAAAAAAACTGTAAAAGAACAGTTCTTTGCCTACAAAATATGTTCTCCTTAGAGATTTCCGCCTTACCTATGCATTCATCACACACATGAAATATTTGATTCTTTCTGAGTAACAATGGGTTACTATAGCTGAATCAGTATCTTGGGAATAGCAAATTCATTTTCACTGAGGAAGAAAGAGTCAGAATTACTTCCATGACAGCTGGACCTGCCAAGTTCTTTCGATCCACAAAGAATCTGGCATAGCAAGAACAAATAGGAGGTACAAAACCCGTGCATACAATACACTCAGCAAGCCGTAGCTTCTTTAAGGTAAGTAATCGTTCCTTGGTATGTCAAGTGACAGTCTGCACAATTTTCTTCACTGTAAGATAGCAGTCCGACAAAGATCCTCCAAGTGGCATGTGCAGCTGACAGGGGTCGCAGCAAGGTAAGTACTAAAATTCTAGATTCAACCTATTGTGAGAGGCTAAACCACAAAACATTTGTCTCAAAGACTGTTTGTCTAAGCGAAAATCCCTTTGGCTGATAAGGATGGCTACAAGGCCACAGAGGTCTCTAGTTGATGAAAAACACCCTGCCAAGGTAATGGCTACAAGACATGTGACAGTTGTGAGGAGCGGGGCTGGAGCCACCCACCGTGAAGTGTATGCACATACACAGGAATGCAAAGATGTGCTAAATTGCAGGCCTTGAATGAGAATAAAAGGGACTGCCAAGATAAGCCTTGGTGCGTGCCTGTGCCCACCGCTGTCTCCACGATAGCCCACCCCCGAAAACATTGAGAGACTTGGACCCTGGGACGCTGTGGATCCATGGAGGTGACTATCCTTGGAACTCTATCCCGAATGCTTGCTTGATTTCTATCTTTTTATTCCATTCTGTCCTATCACTATTCTGTCCTATCACTACTAATTTCTTTACTTTTTATAATAAAAGCTGGCTTGGGTATACGGCATTTAAGCCTTGTTTGTGTCTTAATCTCGCTCTGGGGATCATGTTGAAACCTCCCCTGACATTGGATCGGGACATTTAAATTGGCATCACGGACAGGATCCCTTGAGACGAGAGTGCCATATTACCACTACACAGGGTGTAAAGTGTTCCTTGGCTAGAGCAGGATGAGTTAAGACAGGAAAAAAACACAACAAAACTGACCAAAACAATAGACCTCTCAAGTGATATAAAATATAAAGTCATTCTAAGCAGAAATTCAGTGTCAGACCTCACAGTGGCATTGCATATGAAATAAGGAAAATTCGTCTCAAAAGCCTAGAGTATCCCCTGTTTCTTTTGACTGAAATTTTGGACACTTGGAAGACCATCTTCACAAAAAATTAACAGAAGGAACAAGAGTCCCATGTGGGTCTATGGTGAAGGGACAGAAAGAAACGTAATTAGGCCAATCTGAAATATACAATAATGTATTAAGCCTGTCATATAGGGCAAAAATACAGCACGGTGTGCACTATGGGAAGATGTGTTAAGACTGGCAGAATGAAGCATCTAAGGAATAAGAGGAGGGATAAGGAATAAGGAGCAGATGTAATGCTGTCAACTTTCAGCTTTGCCCTTCAAATGTAGGGTAGAATGATTTGCAAACAGTTTAAAATTTTGCTAAATAATAACTAATGTCATGCAGGCTCACACAGCCATTAGAAATTTGCACTCAAAGCCTAACACACTGACTTCTCCCTTCTGTCTTGCAAAGTTTTTAGCTTTGAATGTTGTAGACATAAACACACACATTCCAGTTTGAGGCATAATTTTTAGTTTCATGCCCTGAAATTTCCCTTCTAGTGCTGGATAAATCAAACGTTTTGGTTTCCTAACATAAATTCTTTAGCCATGATAGGCTTCAGCATCTGAGCTGGCAGTGATTTCAAACCTATCCAATTCTCTCCTCAGACACATATCCAAAACAGAACGCAATTCTCCCATTTCTTTTTGATCTAGTCTAAGTAGTAAATGACTTGGCATACTTTCAATAGAAAAGGGATCACTACAGACATTGCTAGTACTTTGTAAAGGAGAAATAACAGTGGCAAGCCTACGTCCTATGCTGAGAACTGCAGCACATACTGTTAGCTGAAGGGTGGCTCTTTTATTTCTCTTTACTGCTTATTTGTTTCAAGCCCAAGGTGAATCCTTCCCATGGGCTTGGACAATGACATCCCACTGCCACTGTACTTTTTCAAGACCGACAGATATCTCTGGCATCTCACCACTAATCTCAAGACAATAGTTGGGATTAACTATTTGGCTAAGGACACTTTGTTCATTAAAGCCTAGGCACAAGGCTGCAGAAATTCTTGCTTTTCAGATTCTGGTCAGACCTAACAGACTCAGACTTGGACAGCATATGCCTCCAACCATAAGGGTCCGAAGGCTAACTGAAAAACAGATGAAGAACACATTATTTACCAGCAAAATCCCACTAGGTTTTAAGTATGTGGCATCCAACTGTAAAAGTACTCTATTAAGGTACCAAAAAATTAACCGCTTTGCTTAGCTACAACCAAAACCAGACCAGTAAGGATCCGCAGTCCATGGCTATCACAGTATCACATCTGAATAACTGTCATCACACATATAGTTCACTATGTCATTGATCTCACCAGGTCAGATTGTTCCAGGCTTATCTTCCATCATTTTGCTACTTCTCATCTAAAAAGCAGTTTTGTTTTGCCCCCTTAGCTTATGCCTGTTCCAGAATTTCATTTTTCTGATGGTTAGAAACATGCAACTTATTCATGGCCAGTTTACAGCCATCTGCATCCAGGTCCATATTGCTCTTCAATTACGTACGCTCATTTGGCTTCCTGGCAGACAGGTGGACAACACAAAATGTTTTCCTGTTATCTCTAAACCATCAGAAATTCAGTGTGAAGTTATTTGTTACAATCAGCACCTACCTGTAACTATCATTCTGCGTATTATATCTCACTAAGGCAAAAATATCTGCCATGCAGTTAAGGAAGTTAATCCAGTAATAATGAAGCTCACATGCATTTTAACACACTTTTTCCTGCAGCAGATTGCAGATTTAATAAAGGTAAAATATATTAATCAATGTAAATATAGAAAACGTCCTAGACTATACATATTTTACGGTTTATAAAGGAGGTTCCATACAAAATTTTATCATGTTTGATCAGCAGTTTTAACAACTGAGCTACTACCACAAATACAGACTTCTTGCCATTGTATGAAGTGTAAAATGCGCTATATAGTTTTGCATTTTTTGTGTGTTTGATAGACTTGTAATTAAAAATTCTTTTACTTGATAAAAAAGTACCGATTCTGAACTTAGCTTATACCAAAACTTCCACTGAAGAAAAGATACCAATGAAATAATTTAGCTAACAGAATTATAAGAAAACAGGAGGAGGATTTAAAGTGTATTATCAGTCATATTAAAATGTATTATCAGTCTTGATTCATAACTTTGGGCAAACCTGGGAAAAAAAATAAATCAGAGAAATCCTTATGGTTGCCTTGCAAGATATTTTTACGAAATCAATTAGAGGCTTCTCGCTTTGATAAATTTCCTTAATACCATCTCTAAGTTTTCAGTCCTTATAAACAGTTTCAAAGAAAAGTGTAAGTCTGAATAACTTCATTGGCTGTATGGGTTCGTTCCAGATAGAATGAAGAGACCTTTGCCAATAGCTGTGATCAGCATTATTGGAGACAGCACAATAAAAAGGACTTATGATGGGATTCAACTATTCCAACGTAAGCATCCAGTGCTATTTAAGATGTTTGAGCGTATACTGCCTAGTCTCCAGATGCCATTCCAAATGGTGCATAGATCTCCTCTAGGCCCAGAGTCATATCTGCCAGACCTATAGAGGCATTTCAGATATGCTGGGACATCTAAATTGGTGCTGGATGCCTTTATTTGGGTAACTCAATCCTACACCACAAATGACACATGGCAAACCTTTACAGAAGCTGTCATTGCTGTATAGGACAGCACAGTGGGATATCTGTATGCTAATTCTTCCCATTGTAGAAGTAACAAAAAGGGGTGCTAGAGTATGTATGAAAGTAAGTATGAAGTGCTAGTACAGATTCAATGAGCTTTGAGATTTACCACATCTCACACAGATCAGTGTCAACCCTGGCTACTGTCAATTGAAAACATCTGGAAGGTGATATTGACCAGCTGTGGATTACTTAAAATGACCTAAATCAAGGTCAAGCATTGGAACAGGCTGCCCAGGGAGGTGGTGGAGTCACCATCACTGGAAGTGTTCAAAAACCGTGTGGACGTGGCACTTCAGGATATGGTTTAGTGGGCATGGTAGTGTTGGGTTGATGGTTGGACTTGATGATCTTAAAGGTCTTTTCCAACCTTAATGATTCTGTGATTCTGTAAATGATAACAAGTCCTTATAGATTTAGGGCACATCTGCCCCTTCAACTCATTATGACACTCAGTACAGTTGAACCTCAAAATGTTTGTCAAAAATCAAAAAGAATTGGATGTATCAATTACATCATAACAAGTCCTCCTAGCAGCAATAAGGGAAGAATTATTCCTTTTTTGCTAATGCTGACACTCTGATGAAGAGGTACATTGACTTGGTAAACATTTCTTATTAACAATATTTAGGTTCCTCTGATATCTAAATTTTTTTTTAATTGTGGAATTCTTTTCGTTCCAGTCACATCTTCCATTTAGAGTAAAGGAGGTTAATATTAAGGGCTTGAATCCAAAAAATAAGATCAGCCATGGACAAAAACAGCAATAAAGTTCTAACAACAGTTAGTCAGCCTGAGAACTAGGTTTAGAAGTCATAAGCTTTGCAATAATTTTGTAAAACGCAGCAACAGAGCATGGATAGAAATAAGAAGTTTTGTCTTTCCATCCATTTTTCTTCATTCCATTCCATCTAGCGTAAGAGATGGGATCTATGGACCACTAGTGTGGCCTCATGATAATCCCAAGTGATTGGCAGCTGGTTTTTTGAATCATAGTCTTCACAATGTTTTCAACCAAAAGTTTGAAAAAAAAAACAGGCTGCCAAAAATCTGGAGAATATGTGGTTTATGGTCTAAAAGATTTGAGAATCATTGATCTAAAATACATAAATACCTAAAATAAACAGCATCTAAATATTGCAAGGCAATATTCAGTAGTTAGTGCCAAACTGATTCACATCACTAGCAGAAATATTTTTATGAATTTATAATTTTATGAAAATGTATGAATTTAATTTGTGAAATGATTCAAATAAATGCCTTCAATAAAAATAAAATTTGAAAATCACATTCTTGCTTTGACCTTATCTTTTAAGTGGTTCAACATAAAAATTTTTTTATGATGCAGACTCAGAGACTTCTAGTTAAGCAGCTGAAGGTAAAGAAAGCAAGAATGCAACTGTCTTTCTAAAATAGTTTCCACTTCCATAAACAGCATGCAGGAAGGACTTAGGGTAGAATTAAACATAATGCTGATCTTTAAAAACGAAACAAAAATTCCCCCCAAACTTCCCCACCCCAACCCCAAAAAATCAAACAACCAAAATCCACTAGAAAATGTAAGGAAAAAGATACGTGTAAAATGAGAGCGAATCATGGATGGCTTGAATGCTGGAGAAGACTCTTCACCTTCCTGAAATACGATAGTGACAATGTCATTTCCAATATGTCGCTTCCTTTCTACCTGGAAGAAAAAAAAGGGAGGGGTGCAGGAAGGGAAGAGACAGACACAATGACTTAAAAGACATCAATAAATACCTTAACAATTCTGTGAAAGAATGGTAAAACAGTATTCCTAAAATAATTTTCCTAAACAGAAAAATTATGGTCAATATGATTGAAGCCAAAATAAAATTATTAACTATAAGCAAGTTAATCTAGCAATGCCATGGTGCACACACAAGGCAGCTGCTGAAACAGCAGCTATTGCACATTTTTAGAGTTAGCAAAGCACTCATAATTTCTGTAAATTCCATAATTAATATTCACAAATTGGGCACAGAACACCTAATATTCCAAAAAAGCAAATCCACCAACTGAAATAGCAGGAAAAAACCCTGATGCTAAGTTATTCTTTAAAAACAATAAATGTCCTGATCGGCCTCTGGTTTCTGCTGTGATCTTGTCATCAATCCAAGGCAAAAGCATGAGAAAACAGACATGGAAATAAAAAAAGGACAATAGAATTATATAATCTAATTTAATAATAAT